ACTTGGACACCGTTGAGAGCCCCTCTTCCGTGTCTTATGTTACTTGTGTTGAATCAAGAAGGCCGACACTTGTAACAGTAGGAGTAAGTTTTCTTTGAAATCTTTATAGAATTAATATGAGAGTCCATCTGTTTCTGAGGATTTGTTTAGAGGTAAGCTATCAATAACTCTTGAGATTTCTTCTTCTGAGATAATCTTCGTAAGAGTTTGGTTCTGTTCACTTGATATTTGTACAATATCCTTTGTAAGAGTTGTTATAGCCTCTTAGTTGACTTTCTCTACCTTGTATAACTTTTGATGGTTTTCTTTTATATAATTCAGTATATATTCTTGTTCTGTTTTGTTGGAATCTGATGAGTCTCTGACTGTATTACTGCAGAATGCTGAGTGTCTAGATTTGTGTTAGGCAAAGAAATATCTTGTTGATCTTTCTCCTTCTTCAATCCACTTTGTATTAGATCTAGTTTGCCATTTTTCTGCTAGTGTAGCTGTTTTATCTTGTAACTTTGTATAAAGATCTTCAGCAACCAGCTGAAGTTTTACAAGGTTTGGGTTAGTTGTAATTTTGTTATTGATTTTTTGTAGTTTCTTTTGTAGTTTTTGCATTGTTTTTTTAGCAGAGATTTTTGGTTTTTGTACTCTTATGATAGCTTAAACCATGTGTTTTAGTAAGTTCTATTCTTCTATATTTTGGTATTTAAATAGTATATCATTGATAGTTGTGTTGGTTTCAGGTTGTTTACTAGTTTTTTTGTTGAACTTCCAGAGACAAGGTCTACTTTCTGATAGTTTTAGTGATAGTTCATATTCAACCAATAGATAATCAGAATTTCTAAAGTGAGTATTTGTAGTTTTGCACATGTGGTTATGATTACTATCAATAAAGATATAATCAAGCTTTGTTGTCATTATGTTTTCACTTCTTGTATGTTGGTTAAAAGTGATAAAAGGTTTTTCTTCTAAAATGATAGCTATGTCTATAAAGTCTATTAATTTTGACTTGACCAGCACTCTTGATGAGTTATATTGTGAAGTTGCTTGACTTATGTAGTTAACCTCTAGATCTAGGTTAGTGTTAAAGTCCTCTGCTAGGATATTTATATATCCTTCTTTGTATATTAGTAACCAATTTGTGAAGAATATAGTTCTATTGTTTATGCTTAGGGGAGCATAGATATTTGTTATCCAGAAGGCTTGATTTCTAATTTCTGTCTGTGTTGAGGTTACTTGACCTTCATGTGAGCTTTTACAATTTTTTAATTTAATATTTTTTCTCCCTGCTAAAATAGCTGTTCTTTCAGACCAAAATAAGTCATAGCCTTATTGTTGCGCTAGGAAATCTCTAGTCGATTTTTCTTTAAGATTTGTTTCTTGTATTAGAATTAAATCTAAGTGATAGGATTTTAAGAGTGTTAATGTATTTTGAGCTTTAGATCTATTGCTTAGACCTTTTATATTTAGTGTAGTGATTTTGATCATGTTTGTTGATATAAATAGTTTGTTGGCTACATTTGTTTAATCTTAGTAAGTTAGATTTGGTTTCTAGAGAGGCTCTGAGTAGAGCTTTTCTCTGGTCATTCTGAAGAAGAGCTACTATCTTTTAGACTATTTTTCTTTTTATGTTTCTTGGAGGTTACAATATTAAAGATAATTTCTTCTATGTTGTTATCTTTTTCTGAGTCTGAGTTCTCAACAGTTTTTGTTAGATAAGGTTTGTCAGCTTCTTTTATTATATTTTCTGAGGCAGTTTTTGTAGTAGTTTTTGCTAGATTATCTTCATTTGAAGAGTTCGTGTTTTGACCACTAGTTTCTGAGGTTTTAGCAGGAGATGTTTCTGTGGGTTCAGAAGACATTTGCATATTGTTAATGTAGAGATTTTCTGAGCTGAAGTTTTCTTATTGATTATTTTCTTCAGCTGTTCTTTGTTTCTCTCTCAGGAGCCTGAGATCTTTCTGTTTTTTTTTGAATTCAATTGAGGCTTTCAATTTTTCACATTCCTTTTTAATGTAGCCTTCTTTTTCATAATAAAAACAGACTTTTGATGCATCCCTCCATTCTGTCATGACTTTGTGATAGTCTATATGAGTAGTTCTAGATATTCTTTATGTTATATTAAAGTTATCTGTTGTTTCAAAAGTAACCAACTATTGGTCTGATAATATAGTGATACCTTCAAAAAAGAGAGGTTAAATTGAGGTAATTGTTTTAAAGTCTTGGAATGCTTCTAAGATGAGATTATTGATATGTTTAGAGTTGCCTAATGGAGTATTTTTGAGTTTTACTGTAAGAAAGGTTCGTCTTAGATTAATTAGTAAAAAGCCAAAGAGAGTTTGTTTAAAAAGACAGATTCCTTCTGTAATATAAGTTTGTAGGCTAGCTTTGTTTTGAAAGATTACTTCTAG